GGCGGCATCGTCAGTGAGTATCGCCATTCTTAGCAATACACAACGACCCACAAACGTCGTGGTTCAACATTAAAACTAACCAAAGCAAGCAGTACAACAACATTTGTGGGTTGGCACACAAGGGACTAGGGCATAGCAAGTCATAGACTTGGTATTAGGGATAGAAACAGGATAGACAGACCAGAGCTAGTTGGCTAACTGTAGTTCGGTTGTACCAGAAACGTGGTCCATGTAGCAAAGGGGTGATGATGACACTCAGAGGCTTGAGCCTCGAATTAGTTACCCAGACGCAGGTGAGGGTGAATATTGCTTCGAGTAGGACAGATGTGGTGACAGGAGTCGAATGAAATAGGTGAACAAGGGGCAGAACAGACGGATTTTACGGAGCAAGAGAGAGACTGAGATAAGACTAGGGAAGAGGACTGCATAATAATAATAAAGACTCTGGATCAACATTCCCTTCACAAGGATGAAGGGGGATGGTGAGAACGATAGTTGGAGTGCGAAGGTGTCATGTTGCTGAAAGAAGCACACCACTATCTAAATAAATACGGTAAAAATTGTAAGTGAAGCCATGATAGGATGCAACCGGAAATGCGAATAACCAGGTCAGAAGTGGAGATACCACAATTATTTAGCACAAGTCTGGTCAAAGGATCGGCTTCACTTGTCTCTTTGACGAGTTGTCGTGTGGTGCTACGAATGGCGATACTCACTGACGATGCCGGCGAAACGTCTGGGAATGTACCACGTCCAGGGTCCTACTCTGGAAATGATCATCCAGACAATGGACCCCGGACTTTGTGCGTTCCTACCAATATGACCATGTTGCGAAAACAAGGTCAAACAACCTCTATACAACGAAAGGAGACCTCAACCATACAAAAGGCTACACCATCTCGGTCTTCATACCTTTGACTAATTTGGTTAGTTCGTGCTACCTTCCAGCCTAGTAGCATGTGTGTGTGTGAATGTGCATTCATGTGAACGCAAAGGTACGACACGATCGCTTAAATCACTTCAAGCCTCCCTCGGATACTGCCTCATCGAGTCACCCATTTAGTCTCCACTTTGTCATTCTGTCCGACCTTCTCATTGACGAGCTTCAGTGGACTGGGCGCAACCGTGAATATTGCCACGTGGCCTGGGTTTACTTATCTTCTCATCAGGGTTCGCCCAGTCGACCGGGAACCACGACTCGCCCAAACGGAGTCCGGCCCTAAGCAGCCACGTTCCCAGTTCCGCGGACCCCTCATCCCGCACTGGATAGAACCAACTGATTGGTCGACAGGGATCTGGGAAGATTTCAACCCAATTACAGGCGATTGCATGTTTTGCTAATGGAAAAGGCAATAGACAAGTCACATCATGCATTGATGATCTCGTCGGACTTTGGCCTCTGGTACAGCCCTTTTTGGGGCCGTGGCGCACTTGCTAGCCTCACACTGACGAAGGATCATCGCGTCAACTGCGTCTGAAGGTGATCTGGGGACCAAGACCAGGCATGGGATGTGGGGAGCAGGGCGCAGGGTGCGGAGGGTGAGAAGAATTGGCCAATCCTCCGTCCGAAGTTGGGCTGCCCAGTCCGGGGCACTTCTTTTATGTGGTTATCAGAATGCTCTTGGACTGTTCGAGGGGAGCTGGAGGCATGCGGTGAGGAGGAGACTCGCAAAGGGAGGGGATGCAGTTTGACTCGAATCCGCCGAGTCTGCTGAACCGGATTGACGAGGATTGACGTGAAAAGAAGAAGAATGAAGAGAAAGAAGAATAGGAAAGGAGCAGGAAAAGAAAGAGAAAGAGTAGAGGAAGGAGGAGGAAGAATATAAAGAGACAGATGAGAATTAAAATGTTGCTGGGATGAAGGAGAAGAAAGTGGAGACGTCAAAGGAGGAAAGAGGAGGGAGTGGATGAGCAGGAAGATGAGGAGAAAGAGGTAGAGGAAATGGAAAAATGGAAGGTGTAGGGACAGATAGTGAGTGGAGAAGTAGAAAGAAGTGAATGTGGATAGATGGAGTGAACGTATCTGGAAGTTGGGGTTGGCAGGAGAGGGGTGAAGAGCTAACTAAGCCCTGATTGGAGGAGGAGGGAGGGACATTCTCGGACTTCGGCAGAACAGTCTCCCACCGTTAGTGCGTCGAGCTCGTAAGACGGAGGAAGATGGTGGGCGGCACTTGGTCACAACGTTCCGACACGTCATGAATCGCGATCGGTTGCAGTCTTTTAGTTTCTCCTGCTCACTCTTTCCTTTCCCTCTGCCGCCACCCTGGCTCTGGACGTCCGTTGTCCGGTTCCACGTCGGTCGTGTTCTGGAATGACGAGACAGTGAAGACGCCGCCAGTGCCAAGACAGGCTGTAGCAGGGCTCCTCGGGCCGAGATGACCCAGCTGACCGGGCGGGCTTCACAAGGAGG